AGAAAACATGCAGTCAATAAGGAAGTTTACTCTCAGTCCTTGGGTGTGAAGTCTGTGGCACAAGAATCTTTGGCTTCAGACAGATATTACAGTGGGCACTTTGGGTGGGGAGGGGTGGGTTAGACTGGGCTAAAAATGGCTCCCAATATAAGATAAATTGGAGTAGAGAGAGAGAGGTGGGTGAGATGAGGGGGCTAGTCTGGGGACTTCAGAGGATTGGGTTGGGGGCTAATGAAGTCTATTTGGTTGTTTGGTGAGGTTTAGGTGGGTTTGATAGGATGGGAGGGCTAGCAGAGTCTATGGGGAAGCTTGGGGGAAGGCGGGGATCAGGAGGTTAGCAGGGTCTGTGGGGAGGGTTGGGAAGATTGGAGAGGCTCTGCAATCCTGCCAATCACCTCCAGGTACCCCTAACCCCTGATGCCTCCAAATCACTCCCAATCCTGCAAACTGATACTGGGGTTGGTTTTAGTGGCATTCAATGGTCCAAGGACCCTGACTGAAGTATGTTGGGAATGGAGGAGGATCAGAGAGGGTGTTGGCATGATTGGCTGGGCTGGTGGCTCCACAAGGCTGTTTGGTGGGATTTTGGGGGGATCTTCTCCCCCCGTACCAGGGGCTATTTTTAGCTCCCTGACCTCCCCCCACCTCAGCAAATCAATTCCCCTAATTCTGCCTGCCTGCCCCTCTCCCCACCCTGCATTATGTCAAGCAGCTCTCGGCACTGGGAAGAGCTTGCAGGATTGATGGGCTTGGCAGGCTGGGGGGTGTGTGGCTGGTCCATTGTGGGGGTGGAGGGGTTATCTGTCTGGGGGTGGGAAGAGAGGCTAGAAGGCTAAACATAGCCTGGTGTTGGGAGAGTAGGAAAAGTGCAGCCCTGGGCCTGGGGCTGGGGCTGGGGCCATTGGCTGGCTTTCTTAGCCCTGGGGCTGCATGTACAGAAGTTCAGTCAGATTGATTTAGCTGTACATAATCTAACTTTGTGCACCTCTGAAGCATAGTTCAGTTAGATTGGTCAAAAAATGGCTGACCCAATCTGATTTTCCTGGAACTTCTGTACAGTTCACACTTAGAATAGCCTAACTAGGAATCTAAAGGCACTTATACAAGTTACATTTTTCGCATAACTGGGGCCTTGAAAGTGCCCTACAGTCATGACATTACAGACTTGCACAGCTGCAGAGTGTTTTAAAAATGGCCGATCATGCAAAAAAATTACGCTTGAAAAATCAGGTATTAGCTGAAGGCACTATAGAACAGAGCACTTTAGGAACTTGTGGTCCTTCAAAGGTTAATTTTTGTGCCTTTGTGGGGCTGCCAGGAGAGGAGGGAGGGAAAGGGGGAGTTGCTGGCTAGGCTTTGCATGCAGTTGCTGGCGAGGCTTTATTGGCTGGATCTGGATGGGGTGGTGTGGGGTAGAATGGAGCCCCCTCACCTCATGGTCCCCCTCAGCTATTCTGGCTATAGTATTGGGGGGATCCAGTCTGGGCCCTTGATAGTGGGCCCAGACAGCAAGGGGACTCCATTCCCCCACCTTCCTGCCTGGGCCTCTTAATAATGGCAGCAGCTGCTGTCTTGGTTTTGCCATAGCTGAAGCTTCAGGGGGAGGGTTGTGGTGGAACAGAGCCCTTTCACCTTATAAGCATGGCCTGTCTCCTCCCAATACCCTAGCCAGGGTAGCTGGGAGCAGCCTGTGAGACTGCATGCTGCTCTCTCTCCCTTCCCCTCTCTCCCTCCTGGACATGGCGGGGAGTTGTGCTGGAGAGTGAGGCAGCAAGTCTAAAATACGTGCTGGCACTACTGTGCAGTAGCACTAATTACCATGCATTAAGTTTAGTACCTGTTATAACAGGTGTTAAACTTAAGGCACCGTAATTATGGTGCATTAATGCGTGTGTAGATGGTGCCCACTGTTAGATAAAAAGAGGCTGAAGCTTCACCTTTGTTAGCTATGTATTGCTTTTATTTTTTTCATCAACATCTCCCAGATCATGGTGAGGGAAGGAACTTCATGATAGACTTAACTTAAAAAACAAACCAACCTTGAACACCATTTATGGTGGAGTTTACGTAACTTATCTTTGTGCCTTGATTTGGAAATACTGTTAGTTGTCAGAGGTGTGGCAAGAGGTGGGGAAAAAAGATTAATCTGACAAAACAGCTGAGGAAAGAATCAAGAGAGGAGCAGAACTCCATGTCAACCATTGCAGGTGCTGGATTCAATTTCTGGAGCTTCATTATGACTTTGCTGAGATGCATCCTCATTCAGATCCTCTTAACTTATTCTTCCCAGAAGGAAAGTAAGATGCCAAATGAATCAGCATTCAACAATGCTATAGCTTAGCTCTTGCTATAGGGGGATAATAAGTATGCCTAGTGAGGTCCAAAGTCCAGAATAATATTTCCTAT